GGAGGCAGGACTCTGTCCCAGGCATCCCAAGGGGCAGCTTAACCCTACACAGCCAATTTATGTGTTCAAGAATGCATCCGGGGCCAGTGCTGTGGCACAGTGGGTTAATCCTCCGCCTGCACTGCCAGCAACCCATATGGGTGCCAGTTCTAGTCCCAGCTGCTCCTCTTCCAATCCAGCTCTCTGCTGTGGCCTGGGAAAGCAGTGGAGGATGGCTCAAGTGCTTGGGCCCCTGCACCCACGTGTGAGACCGGGAAGAGGCACCTGGCTCCTGGCTTCGGATCGGTGCAGCTCTGGCCATTGCGGCCATTTGGGGAATGAACCAACGGAAGGAAGACCTTTCTCTCTCTCTCTCTCTAAAAAAAAAAAAAAAGAATGCATTCTTTACTAAGATACTAAGATACTAAGATAATGATCTGAACACTAGACCAAAAAACTCCTGAAGAGCAGAGGCTGGATTTTACTTCTCTGGATCTCCCCACCTTGCCTGCAGGCAACTCAACAGTTCTGAATAGAATGAATGAGTATAAAGAGATCCATAATAAACTGAAGAATTGTTGGGTTTTAAAAGCATATATTTTCCTTAGAAAGAAGACCTCCACTGGGGGAGTTTCTGGGTGGAGAAGTAGATGGGGAGGGTGGTGCTGGGAGCCAGGGATTTCTGAGGACCCAACTGAAAACCACCACTGGGCGTGACAGCCTTGCTTCCCGCCTCCCGCGACTCGAGACACCGCTGGTGCTTGCCAAAGTGCCGATTCCTGGGCCTCACTCCACGCCTCTTACACCGATTCCCTAGAGACACAGGTGTCTAACCAACGCCCCGATCACTGCCCCGCGTTTCAGGGGCCCTAAGGGAAATCATGCTTCCGGCGGGATCTGTCGCTCCAGCCAGGCTGAGCTCCGGGGGCCCTGTTCTTGCTTCTCCCTCCCTGGACGGTGCTGCTCGGCACACGGCAGGCAGAGACCCCAGGACGGCGGGCGCGGGGCACCCACCTCACGTCGCCCGGGTGGTGGGGAGCAGCGGGGAGCGGGGCCTGTCTCTGACGCGTCCTTGATGTTGGTGGCCTGTGGGTGCTGACCCGTGGTTCTGGGGCTTCTCATCACCCAGAGGCGAGGCTCTTCCACAGCTGGTCCCCTCCCACACACGCTAGGGACTGTCCCCCGAAAGCGCTCTTGGGGGGAGCTGAGCAGCCAAAACGAGCAGGATCAAGACCGACAGCCAGGGGTCCTGCCCGAGAGAAAGCTGTGCCGGCCCCAGCCAGGCCCCGCCCCTCGTCTTCCTGATGTGAAGCTGCGGAGTCCCGAGTCGGCCGAGCTTCCCACGCTGTGGCCCCGCAGCAGCCCGCGCCCCGGAGGTGGCCACGCAGGAGCTCGGCTGGAGGCAGGGCAGGCGTGGACACGGTGGTCAGGACCCCAGTTAAGACGCCCTGTCCCACAGCAGGGCGCCTGCATTCAATGCCCATCTGCGCCCCTGACTGAGCAGAGGGCGATGGCTCAAGCAGTTGGGTCTCTGCCACCCAAGTGGGAGTCCTGCACGGGGTCCCAGGCTTCCGGTTTTGTCCTGGCCCAGCCGTTGCAGGCATCTGGGGAGTGAACCAGTAGATAAGAGATCTCTTTCTGTCTCCCTCTCTCTCTGCCTCTCAAATAAATAAATAAATAAATGTGAACGTGAGTTTGACATGTGCCTTAGAACATATTTATTTGTGTTTCATTCTGTAAGCACAGTTTTTATTTATTTTTTATTATTTTGTTTTAAAGATTTATTTATGTGAAAGTCAGAGTTACGAAGAGATAGAGAGAGAGATCTTCTATCCACTGGTTCACTCCCCAAATGGCTGCAACAGCCAAGGCTAGGCCAGGCTGAAGCCAGGAGCCAGGAGCTTCTTCCGGGTCTCCCAAGTGGGTGCAGGGGCCCAAGCACTTGGGCCTTCTTCCACTGCTTTCCCAGGTGCGTTAGCAGGGAGCTGTATCGGAAGTGGGGCAACTGGGTCTCGAACCAGCATCCACATGGGACGGCGGTGGTGAAGGCTGCAGCTGTACCCACTGCATCACAGCGCTGGCCCAAACACATAGTTTTTTAATAATTTGTCATAAGACAGAGCTGATGACCTAAGAAACAGAATGTGCCCATCCGGTGGATTCCTGTCCTCTTGTTCCCCGTAGGTACCTGGGGCTGCACCGTCTCCCACGTTCTACGTGCCCGCGCCCCGGGTGGCTCCCGAGATCTGACTCCCTCAGGGACTTCCTGGAAGCCAGAAGAGAGCTCTTTGCTCAGCTCGGGCTCAGCAGGAGGCTCTGTGCTTGCCTTTTATCTTTCCCTGAGAACGCAAGGAGCCGGGCACAGGCTCCAACGCCACGGCCCTCCCTTCCCCTTGGTGCACTTTCCCTGTGTGCCACCAACACAACCCTTTCTCTCTCTCTTTTTTAATTTATGCATTTGAGAGGCAAAGAGAGAGCAATGGACACGCACAGAAAGAGCTGCCATCTGCTGGTTTATTCTCCAAATGCCCACAAGGGCCAGGATTAGGCTGCGGGCCAAGTCGGGAGCCCGAAACAAACGCAACACAGGTCTCCTGTGTGAGTGACAAGAATCCAGTGACTTGAGCCTCCCAGTGTCTGATCTGGCCGGGAGCAATCGGGAGGTACAGCTGGGAGACGACCCGGCTACTCTGATGTGCGACACGGGCATCCTCCCTCGTATGGTAAACAAAACCCCCACCTCCCGAACCTTTGATTACCTAGGGTTTTAAAACCATCCCCTAACCTCAGGAAAGATTATTAACAGAACAATACCATGAGAGTCTACACAGTGTGGGGACTGAGTAGACGATAGCACCAGGTACCTGGGTTCAAATCCCAACTCAGCTCTGAGTCTGCTCCCTGCGTGGCCCCACCAAGGCCTTGGTTTCCTTATCTGCAACACTGGCATTAGAAAGTCTTAGCAGGACACGGGATTGGCTTAGTGGGTTAGGGGCCTGTTGGGACATCACGTCCCACAACAGAGGGCCTGGGTTCCACGGCTGCCACCGTTCCTGACCCCAGCTTCCTACTCAAGCCGACCCTGGGAGCAGCAGGAGATGGTGCCAAGTGGCTCAGTTCCTGTTACCCGTGTGGGAGGCCTCGGTTGAGTTCCTGGCTCCCAGCTTTGGCCTGGGCCCAGCCCCAGCTGTTGTGGGCATTTGAGAAATAACCCTACAGATGGAAGTCTCTCTCTCTAGCCTTCTCTCTCTGACTTTCAACTCAAATGAAAATAAATAAAATACGAAATCCCACCTGAGGTTGTTGAGAGGCTCAGGCGAGTGACTACGTGAAGTACTTGGAGGAGCGCCTGGCACTGTGTCCACACTCGGCAGAGGCTGCCGGTCGTGGGACTTGCACGTTGTGCCTTGCTTCCTCAGCCTTTACAAACTGCTGGGGACAGGAACCATGTCCCGAGTACCCATGATCCTTAGCACCTCACACCCCTTACACTTCACTCATAACAGATGCGGAACGCGTCTTAAATGGATCTGATCTGCAGATTTTCATAGATTGTCCTTTCAACGCGCTTACGCTATTCGTCCTTCTTTTAAATGCAGGAGCTGGAGTTTTGGTTTTACTCCAATCACAAAAGACAGAACAAGAAGAAAAAGGGTAGATGAAGACCGGCAGCTGGTCAAGCAAAAGTTCAGGTTAACAGGCCTGGCCCCAGGCAGAGGGGCAGGTGGAAGTGAGTCCCTACAGCAGACTAAGCCAGGCTGCTCTCTCCTCGCTGGGATCTGGGGCCCCGGCCTGCTGTGCCAGGTGTGCTGTCATCCATCCTGGTCTCCCGCGTGGATGCCAGGGGCTCGGGCACTTGGGCCTTCCTCTGCTACCTTCTCAGACGCATCAGCAGGGAGCTGGATTGGACGTGGAGCAACTGGGACTCAATCCGGCACTTCTATATGGCATGCCATCCTGGCAGGCAGCGCCTGGTGGCTTAACCCTCTGCGCGAAGGTGCAGGCCCCGGTTCATCCAAGTTTCTGCATGGGTCAGAATTTCCTTCCTTTGTCGGGCTGAGCATTGCACTGTACATACTACGCTTCGACCTTTGAGCTATTGTGAACAAAGCTTGGGTGTGCAAAGCCCTGTCCAAGCTCCCGCTCTCATTCCTTTTGGATGTACAGCCAGAAGCGGGGCAGCGGGGCTGCTGGCTCACGGGGAAACGGTTTCCTTGTTTTCAGGAACCACCACACTACTTTGCACAGCAGCTGCCTACGGTTTTGTATGGCCCCATCAGCAGCGCCTGAGGGTCCATGAAACCACTGATTTTATAACCAGCAATTTTCCTGATTACAGTGCATGTTCACTGTAGCACATTTTAGGAAAATCCAAGACAGCAAAATGAGGAAATTAAAATTCCCTCTCCTAAGCACGGAGACACGACCGGAATTCGTGTTGTTCCCCACAGACAGGCGAGAGATCGCTTCCCTTGGGGCGAACCCGTCCCCACGGTCCTAGACTGGCAATGACGCCTGCCTGGCCGGACCCCGGCTCAGAGCGCCCGGGCCTGGCCGCCCCCACGACCCTCACCCTCTGTCACGGACACGCGGTGGCGCTGGCCTCGAAGCCCTGCCCCCCAGGGAGGGACACAAGCGCGACAGGAGGCTGTCACGTTCGCTACGGGTCTGTTGGCTCATCTTTAAAGCCCTCTTAGGGCTGAGAAAAGCCTGGGCGAAAGCTGGAGGGACAGACTCTACAAACGCACCATCCACCGCTTCCTTTTCAGATCAAAGAGCCCTTGAAGCCATCCCTCAAGGACAGGCACTCCCACCAAGCAAAGACCTGGAGAAACCCCGCCTCCCTTTACTTTCCCAACCTCCCATTGGTCGATTCTGTCGTCAATCCGTCATGTTTCCCCGCTCTCTGCCTATCAGCGCCGCTCTCCGTGTCTCAGCTCGTGTTCTCATTGGTTCTTCCCGCGGTCGTTCTACCCGGACGTTCCAGAGACAGCCACTGGGAGTCGCTGGATTGGGGTTTTAAAAAACGCCGGCGATGGAGTGGGCGGAGCGGGCGATTTGAACCGGAGGTGCCGCAGCCTACGCCGGAGTACCGACTCCTAGAGCCACACGGGCGGCTCGGGCGGTTGTCCGGTTCCCTGCGGGCGCCAGCCTTCCCCCCCGGGGCCGGGAGGTCCGAGCAGAAGCCTCGGGGCCGGAGGCGGCCCGCCATGGGCCCGCGCCGCCGGAGCCGCAAGCCGGAGGTCCCGAGGAGGCGCAGCCCGAGCCCGACCCGCAGCCCCCGCCGGCGGAGCGTCTCCTTAGGTAACCGGCCGCGGCCCTTCCCTGGGGGACGCGGCGGGGGTGCCGTCCACGCGAGGTCTCGGCGCCACTCCGGGCCCGCTCTACGGCTCACGGGACGCAGGCGCAGACGGGCCGGGTGCCCTGGGCACGGCCACGCGCGCGCGCTCGTGCACGCTCTGGACCCGAGTTTGTCCACTTTGAGCGAGGCTACGTCAGGCCTTGAACCGCGCCCGCCCCGACCCCGTCCGGACGGCGTGACCCCCAGTTGCTGGAGTGTGCGCTGGGGCGGGGTGGGGGGCTCGGGACCCTGCAGCGGGCCGTGGCGCGGGTCTGTCCTACACGTGCTGGCGACAGCAGCTTTCCCTCTTCTCCAACTTGCTGCATAGCCAGGAGCAGGGTGGGACACGTGTGTAGAGGTTACTGCCTTTTAGGACGTGGTGCTGTGAGAGTGGGACATTCTTCCCTGAGACCGGAGTGCTTAGTCCTGAGTGCTCCTTAATCCTGACAGTCCCGCAGTCGGAACCTTAGGTAGACTACTATGTCCTGCACGTGGTCAAGTCCGTGTCCGCCTTTTTCAAATTCTCACCTTTTATTACTTAGTGTATGGCATTAGTGAGGCCCTGAGACTAACTGTAAGAGCAAGGGTTTTGCCCGTTTTTGTCTTGTTGGGAATTGTATTTATTTATTTAAGAATGTATCTATTTGCAAGGCAGAGTGACAGAGGAGGAGAAGCAGAGAAAGAGGTATATTGATTCCACTCACTGGTTCACTCCCCAAGTGGCTGCAACAGACAGGGCTGGGCCAGGGTGAACTGGCCTGGAACTCCATCCGGGTCGTCCTCCTGGGCTGCAGCCACCTAAGCACTTGGGCCATCATCGTCTGCCTTCCAGGAGCCTTGGCAGGGAGCTGGATCGGAAGTGGAGCAGCTGGGGCTGGAACAGTGCCCTGATGGGATGCTGACGGCCCTTGTTTGTAATTTTAATGGGAATATCAGGTGTGATGTTTGCTTTTGCTGTCCAATGTAAAAAATGCCTCTTCTACTCCTGGTTAAATGGAAACTTTTAGCTCAAGTGGGCACCCAACAACACTGCCCTTGTCTGATAGCCTTGCTTTTTCGTTCTCCACGTTGGCAGTTCCATTTCTTCCTCTCCAGCTTCCTGCAGCACCACCCTTCCACTGTTCGCTGACAGTGGCCCCGCTGGAGTGTCCTGCTTTTCTGTCAAAAGCCACTCCTGGGGTCAGCGCTGTGGTGTAGCAGGCTAAGCCTCTGCCTGCAGTGTGGTATCCCGTATGGCCGTCAGTTCATGTTCCAGCTGCTCCACTTCCCATCCGGCTCTCTGCTGTGGCCTGGGAGAGCAGTGGAGGATGGCCCAAGTCCTTGGGCCCCTGCACCCGCGTGGGAGACCCTAAAGAAGCTCCCGGTTCCTGGCTTTGGATTGGCCCTGCTCTGGCCATTGCAGCCATTTGGGAGTGAACCAGCAGCTGGAAGACCTTTCTCTGTCTCTTACTCTCTCTGGCTCTCAAATTAGTAAAATCTTTGTATATGTATATTTAAAAAGCCACAGCTCCCATCCATATGCACCTGCAGAGGGTCTTTCTGTTGTCTTCTCCTGCGCTTAAAATTAAACCCAGACTCACATTGGCTTTGGCGGATCTGCTCTAGTGTTTGCAATCTGAAGGACAAGGGCAGGGGGGTGGGCATTTGGCGCGGTGGTTAGAGACGGAGCTTGCGTCCCACATCAGAGTGCCTGGGGCCCAGAGTCTCAGCTCTGCTTTTGATTCCACCTTCCTGTTAACATGCACCTTGGGAGGCAGCCCGTGACGGCGCAAGGACTTGGTCCCTGCCATCCATGAGGGAGACCTGGATGGAGGTCCAGGCTGCTGGCTTTGGTCTGGCCCAGCCCTGGGCTGCTGTGGACATTTGGGGAATGAACCAGCAAAGAAAGTTAAAGGACAGAGGGAGTCTGCCTCCCCTTCCTGTCGCTGCCTTGCAGATAAGTGAATCTTGAAGAGCAGGTGTTTCCCTGACGCCGCGTTTCCAGTCTTCCTGGCGCCGGGATCCCTCCACTTCCTGTAACGGCTGCCCTTGTAGAGAGGCTTGTTTAGTGTCCACCCACTGTGTCTGTTCCCCATCTCCCAGCCACCCTTGCACCCATTCCGCTCTGACCCCAGAGCCGCTCCCCTCCGGTCGCTGTCCCCAGCTGCACTGACGACGCTGCCAGGGCTAATCCACACCTCTGTGCCTTCCTCACCCAGCCCCTCAGAGCCCTGCGACACCCTGCTCCTGGCTGCCCGGCCGGCCCTGCGCACGCTCTGGCGGTTCCCAGTGTCCTCCACGCTGGTGCCGCCCTCTGCGGCTCCTTGACCGTGGCCAGCAGGGCTGCCTTCCCTTTCTGCCTCCTCCCCGGGCGCCCGTGGCTGCTGTCAGACTTCTCCCGCACCCTGTGCTGCTGCCTTCCTACCTGAGTGCCCTGGGCGAGTCACACACATCCCAGCCCCGACGCCTGCAGCCCCTTGTCCAGTTGCCCCGTTTTGGTAAATGGCACCGCCACCCACCCAGGGTTCAAGCCAGAAGCAGGGAGACGTTCTTTTCTGTCACCCCCATATCCAATCCAAAGGCAAGTTCAAGCAGTTCTGCCTGCGCACTGCGTCTGTCATCACCCCACTTGTCTCCATCTCCGCCCCGAGCAGCCCAGGGCAAGCCGGCAGCCACCACGTGGGAGCCTGCTGACCACTGCTCTGCTCCATCCACCCCTCTGCAGCTCTCCGCACACGGCGCCAGAGGGTCTTATTTTTATTTTTTAAGATTTTATTTATTTATTTGAGGGGTAGAGCTACAGACAGAGAGAGGGAGAGACAGAGAAAGAGGTCTTCCTTCTGCTGATTCACTCCCCAAATGGCCGCAATGGCCGGAGCTGCGCCTATCTAAAGCCAGGAGCCCGGAGCTGCTTCCAGGTCTCCCACATGGGTGCAGGGGCCCAAGGACTTGGGCCATCTTCTACTGCTTTCCCAGGCCACAGAAGAGAGCTGGATTGGAAGAGGAGCAGCCGGGACTAGAACCGGCGCCCATATGGGATGCCAGCACTGCAGGCAGAGGATTAACCTACTGCACCTCAGTGCCAGCCCCTGAGAGGATCTTTAACCCGGAAGTAGATCAGCTTTTCCTCTCTCTTCCTGAACACTTTCCCTGGCTTCCGGTCACTTTAGGATTAAATCCCAGCTCCTTATGTTGGCGTTTCAAGACCCAGCTGCTGCATGTTCTGATTTGTGAAATTCATTTGAAAGACAGAGCTGTCATCCACTGGTTCACTCCCCAAATACCTGCAAGGGCGGGGGCTGGGCCAGGTCGAAGCCAGGAGCAGGAAACTTAATCCAGACCTCCCTCATGGGTGGCAGGGACCTACCCCTTGAGCCATCACCCACTGCCTTCCAGGGTGCCAGGCTCAGGTGCGGAGCTGGGACTTGAACCCCAGCACTGTGGTGTGGCAGTGCTCTCCACACACAGCTGACTGCATCTCTGATCCCGGCTCTTCCCCGTGAGCTTTCCCTGGTCGCTTCTCACGTATTCGCATCACGGATTTCCTGTCTCGCCCCTCTGAGGTCATCGCCTGTATTTAAGGGCTCTCCTTTCTCTGCTACCTCAGATTCCTCCGGAGTGGTTTTTCTGTTGAGTTGGGTTCCTTCCGCTCGCGGTGTCCTTTCTCAGATCGTGTGGTGACCTTTCGTCGTGTCCCTCTTCACCTTGTGTGACGCCGGGCCTTGTGTGTGAAGGCTGCTGATGGGCGGTGGAGACGAGGCGGGGTCAGCCTGTGCGTCCTCCCTGTTCCTGACCCCACCCGGGTCAGCTGCCTGGCTCAAGCCCCTCTGGTGGCCTCCCCTCCCCCACCTTCTCAATGCTCTGTGTGTGCTCCCCCACCCCGCTTTCCCCTGCTGACCCCGCGCACACCTCTGCAGGCGCGGCCTCGCAGCACAGACGGCGGCGGCACGCGTGGCTGAAGGAGATGCGCAAGCTACAGAAGAGCACGGACCTGCTGCTGAGGAAGCTGCCGTTCGCCCGCGTGGTGAGCTCAGGGCGCCCCGGCCCGGCGTGGCCCCTGTCCCTCACCTTCTCCCCCTGCGGGGGCCCTTGGTCTGGACCCACACCACCTTCGCTTCTCCACAGCTCCCCCACACCTTTGAAGCTGTCTTACTCTTTGTAACAGTTGTGTGTATGGGCACTGTGAGAGCTCGGGTCCACGCCTGTGTGTTAGGGTGGAGTCAGGGTTCCATCTCCTGGGGCAGGTCTCGCTTCTTTGTGTTGGGAACCTCGGGTCTTAGCGTCTGAAACTGTCTTTGAGTATGGAAAACGGAGCGCTGTCACCCATCCCTCGTGCTTTGGTCCCTTTTGCTGCCCTGGGGGAGTGCAGCAGGCCGACTCCTGTGCCCCAGAGGCAGCCCTGCTCCGCCCCAGGCACGTCCTGAGGTTGAGGGCCAGGAAGGACCAGTGGATTCCCTGGAGACTCTTGGAGAGAGCCCAGCTCTCCGAGCCTCTCGTCTGTTACTGCCTACTCCCCCATCCCCACTCCTCCACAGGCCAGAGAAATCAGCACCAGATTCACTCGGGGTGTGGACTTCAGCTGGCAAGCCCAGGCCCTGTTGGCCCTCCAGGAGGTGAGAGGGGGCCTGGGTGCAGCTGGGGGAAGGCCGGGTGGGAGGGACTAGCGTCCTGGATCCTGGTACTTGGCCGCAGACTCGCAGGCCGCAGCTGGCCGGGATCCCGAGCAGGGCAGCCGGGTCCCCCCGAGCAGTGGGGGGCTGCAGAATTCCCAGGCAGAGCCCAGTCTCCTGCACCGTCCTCCCTAACGTGCTTCGGGCGCTGGAGACGGAGGTCAGCGGGTCCCCAAGGAAAAGCAGCCGTGCCCCCACGTCTGCCATGTCCCCTCTGCCCCCTCCTGCCCCCAGGCGGCAGAAGCGTTCCTGGTTCACCTCTTTGAGGACGCCTATCTCCTCTCCTTGCACGCCGGCCGGGTCACCCTTTTCCCAAAGGATGTGCAGCTGGCCAGGAGGATCCGAGGCATCCAGGAGGGGCTTGGCTGAGCACCGGGCCGGAGTCTCCGCCAGCCTTCCTGTGCCCGGGCGCGGCACCCCGCTCTCAGCGCCGGGAGGGCTGTCCTTGGAGGAGCTGCCTTCTCTGTGCCCAGCCCCTTGTCATCTCAGCGTTCCTGGTGCTCACGAGACTGCCTGGGGGTGTGTGGGTCACACCTTCCCGTGCAGCGTTGAATAAAGATACTTTGCTACCACGTGACGAGCCAACGGCCACACCTGTAGCAGCGCTAAGCCTCTCCGTTTCACAAGGACCCGTGGCTTCGTTTTGATGAAGAGAGATTTTTTTGCTTCTGAAAATGCCTTGTTAGGAAAAGCGATTCCTGCGTGTCAGGGATGATGGCTGGGACGGCTTTGGTGCCCATGCGTAGTAGACCCGGGCATATCGGAGGGCCGCCTGGGCCGTGCTGTTGCAGAGCTGGGGTCCGGCTGGGGTCGGTTCTTTCCAGGAGAGGGTGGCCTGGCTGGCTGTGTAGTGGGCATCGGCACGGCTCCCGGCGCCTGGACGTCGTGTCGGCAGAGGTTCCAGGGCCTTCAGCTCGTGACCCGCACATCCGACCGATGAAGCTCCTGAAGACCTCAGCTGCGCACGGGCAGGAGGGGATCCTGGCTCGTTCCTGTGCCGTGCGTTTTTCACCCCGTGTGTGTTTAATCCGCTGCTGAGAACGTGAGAGGAAGCCCGAGAAGCGCCTGAATCAGCTGCGTGGGAAAGCCCAGCCTTCCCGGCCCGCAAGCCTGCGCCCCTCAGACGGGGCTGAACATTGGTGTTCTGGTTCCTTCCAGTCCTTCCCATCAAAATCGCTCGGAAGTTCTGACTTCCAGGATTCAGCATTTTCTTATTATTTGTAAACCACAGAAGTTGAATCTTATCAATCCATGATTTTAAAGTGCTTTTCCAGTGTTTTTATGGGTGTTTTTTAAGCTTACAGCTTCTTTGCAGAGAGATAATAAAAATAATTCTGTAATGAAAAAGTTAAAGCCAAGTTACTGTTTCCAGCAGGGCAACTATGCTGTTTTCTGTAATTTAAACTCTGCATTTCCGCACTGTGTACAGGCATCCATCGTTTCAACAAGGGGACTGAAGGGTGAGATTTGCCCCCAGTGAAGCAGAGGTGAACAAAGAAACCTTGGCCTTCTGCACGGCTGAGAGCATGGGAGGTTTCTGGAGAAATGGGGTCTGCTGTGGCGAAAATGCGGAGTGCGTGGGGCTGGCTGATGAGGACACCGTGTCAGACTGGAGGGAGGCACCAGGTCTCACTGTAATCACTTCTAGCCTTTTGGAAAAGCCTCTTCCTTTGGTGTGATGTCGTACCCGTGCTGGTGTGCCATACCCGTGTTGGCATGACATCATATGTGCTGGCATGACACTCATACTGGTGACGTCACACATGCTGGCATGACACACCTGTGCTGGTGTGATGTCACACCCATGCTGGCATGATGTCACACCCATGCTGGCATGGCATGCCCATGCTGGCATGTCACATCTGTGCTGGTATGACACACTCATACTGGTGAGACGTCACACATGCTGGCGTGACACACCTGTGCTGGCGTGACATCACACCCATGCTGGCGTGGCATACCCGTGCTGGCATGACATCACCTGTGCTGGTATGACACTCATGCTGGCGTGACATTGTACTCATGCAGACACCGGAATGGCGCTTACCTATCTGTGATTGTCAGAATTAGTCCTCTAGTTTGTGTTGGTTTTATGTTTTTGGCTGATACTTTTTTGCCACCAGTGCGTCCCTGCGGTACACACAGGTCACACTCAAATGCCAGGCGGGAAGCTGCTCTCAGCACCACGTGGCATTTATGCAATGCTACAGGGACTTCCTTTCTGTTGGAGTCTCAAGTCCGAGGCTGGCCGCTGACAGACACTGCCCAACAAGGCGAACGGGAAGGGTAAGGTCGACGGGTGGTGAACACACCACAAGCACCCCTGAGTTCTGTCGAAGTGGGAACCGCTTTATTGAGGAAGCGTACAGGCTTATAAAGGTTATGAAGGGCATGCGCAGTAGGGGAGCCAATCAGAGAAAAGGTCACACAGGCACGGGAGGACCATGCACAGGGGCATCTTAAGTATTAGGGATCATGCACGTCCACGTGTCCGGAACTGAAGCGGACCTACCCCTGCCGGTGGTCTGATCTTAGGTCCTTAACCGCAGCAGCCGCAGACACGCCCCCCGCCAGGCGCCACGTTGTAATGGAGATTTTACGCAATGCCCAACACCTTTCGGTCATGAAGCTGGAGAATGTTACAATTTACTGTAAGTTGTGAGCAGTTACGGTTGAGTTTTGTGGTTTTTAAAAAATTAATTAATCTGAAACAGACATCTACCATCCATTGGTTCACTCCGCAAATAGGGAACTGGGCCAGGCCAAAGCCGGGAGCCGCGAGCTCAGCCCGGGTCTCCCATGCGGGTGGCAGGCACCCAGCTGCGCTGGCCATCACTTGCTGCCTGCCAGGCTGAGCTATGACATCCCCGTCAGTGTTCGCTCAGCAAAGCAGAAACCACTGCAGATGTTTCCAGCCAAAGGGGGTTTGCTGGCAGGGATAGGCCGTAGTACGGTTAGGAGAGCAAAAGGGACACGGCCCGTGCTCAGGAAACCGCTGGTACCCCGAGCCCACCCTCGCTGCTCTGTGGGCTGACGGCCCCACAGCGCTGCACGGGAGCTCGGCAGTGCCCACTCGGCCCGCGCCCCGACCTCACGGCGAGGAAGAGTGTCTGCTCTTCCCTCCCACCCCCGGCACCTCCCGCTAGCAGAGCCCGACCAAAAGCCGCTGCAAGCGAGTGTGGCATGCGATTGGCCAGCTCCTGTGTTACAGGCGGGAACTTGAGGGGGCGGGGATAGAGCTCAGAGCCAATAGAGTCGCCCGCGTCCCAGCCTGGTTTCCAGGCGCAGGGCCAGTTGGAGGTTAATCCACTGGCCCCGATTTTTGTTTCTCCGCACAATTGCAGTTTTCTCCAGGCTGCCCCGCCCCCTAATTTGTTCTGGTTCCTCTTTTACTTCCTAGATTTTCCTTTGGTGTTTAAGGGTGGGAGTCAGAAAAGCCGGCCGGCAGCTCTGAGCCTGTTGATGGGACTGGGAACTTGAGCTTTTCTGCAGGGTGGCCGGTGAGGCCGCTGTTCTCAGCCTCCGCACAGCCAGAGCTCGGCCGCCTCACCTCCTGGGGCCCGAGTGGGATGCTCATTAGCTTTGCCTCTCCCTGGCTTGGCCTCTCGGCAGGGCCCGTGAGCAGCCCTCCGGCCCGGTCAGTGGCCCGTCCCCATGTTTCCAGTTCCTAGCCCAGCTCCCAGCTACTCGATGGACAAATGCACCCATGAGCTGTGCTGGAGCCTGCCTTGTCCCATGGACGCTGGAGGTTTTGAGGCACATCCATCAGGCTCTGGAAACCCTTCTGATTGTTTTTTTAAGTTTATGTAAAAGCAGAGAGAATCTTCTGTCTACTGGTTCTCTCCTCCAAATGGCCACAACAGCCAGGGCTGGTCCAAGCCAAAGCCAGGAGCCAGGAACTCCATTCAGGTCTCCTACATGGGCAGAGGCCCAAGCACTCGGGCCGTCTTCTGCTGCTTTCCCAGATGCTCTGCAAGGAGCTGGACTGGAAGTGGAGCAGTCGGGACTGGAACCAACATTGATAAGGGATGGCGGCGTCACAGATGGTGTGGCGCCACAACGCTGGCCCCTGGAACCCTTCTCGGTCCAAGAGGCTTGGATGAGGCAGGCTTGTTTCAGAATCAGGGAATCAAAGAATGCCAAGAATGAAAGTAACCACAAGGGACTGGAGAGAAGCCGGTGGAGAACAGGGCTTGGCTTCTTGCTTCTACGGTCAAGCACCTCGCCGGTTACAGAAACCACATTCAGAGGGTCCCAGACCACAGCAGGCAGAGAGGGAATCGCTGTGGCGCGCTCCTTGTTGGGGAAAATGACAACAAAGCAGAGTGGGCTTCCAGAGGGAGCCCACAGCTGCTGCCTCCGGCCCCGACTCACTTCCTACGCGTCACCCCTAGGAGGGGCCCTCCGAGGCCGTCACAGGCGCAGTCCCAGGGAGTTTGGGACGCTTGGCCACTCTCACGCATCTTCTTTGCTACGACTCTGAGTGGCTGTAGGTTTGTCCCATCTCCTGCACCAGACTGGAAAATTGTCCTACCCCTTCTTCACTCACGACTCCCCCAGCCTCTCAGCTACTGTTGCTGGCTCCTAGGTCACCAGCCAACTCCTGGACAGTCTGCAGGAGGCCCTGGCAGGGCAGCTTTGTGGGTGGGAAGACGCTTGGGCCCCCAGGTAGCACTTGCTTGGCTGGGCTCATCAAGCAAGACAGGCAGACGTGAGCGCATGCGTGCGGCCTCGTGGGGTGCGCTCCTCCTGCTCCACTTTATCGGATCACACTCAGATACCCCGGAGAATTGAAAACCCAACTCTGCTTTCCATAATTCCATGGATCTCACCGGCAACTTCACCATGGAAACAGCAGGAGCAGGAAGCAGCCAGCGTCAGACTGGACCCAGATTCCACCAGAAAACACGTGAGATGTCACGGTTAAGTGCTTTGAAGGAGAATTAGTTTTAAGATCTTTCATGGGGCCGGCACTGCGGCTCACCTCCGCATACGGCGCCGGCACCCAGGGTTCTAGTCCCGGTTGGGGCTCCGGATTCTGTCCCGGTTGCTCCTCTTCCAGTCCAACTCTCTGCTGTGACCCAGAAGTACAGTGGAGGATGGTCCAGGTCCTTGGGCCCTGCACCCCATTGGGAGACCAGGAGGAAGCACCTGGCTCCTGGCTTTGGATCGGCGCAGCGCACCGGCTACAAAAGACCAGCCATAGTGGCCACTTGGAGGGTGAACCAACAGAAAAAGGAAGACCTTTCTCTCTGTCTCTCTGTCACTGTCTAACTCTGCCTGTCCAAAAAAAAAAAAAAAAAAAAATCTTTCATGGAATCAGACTCTCAGGTTGAGAATGGTTCCAGGGCCCAGCCAGCATGGACCCACGCGCATGGCCAAGTCTTCTCTCCAACACCCCACCCTGCAAAGCAGCCCCTGCCTCTCTTTGGATCCCTCTGCTGACAGGAAGCTCATTACCTCCCAGGGCAGACTATTCTACTGCCTCGTTCTAATTCTCCCTCCTGGGACCTTAGAAACAGACCTCAGCCCTCCCTGACGGGACAGGCGTTCCTGTAAAAGGCAGCTCTTGTTCCTTTTGAAGTGAGCCATGGGACAGCTGCAACGTCATCCAAGTCGGCGTGCAAAGCGGAGGTTCCAGGCCCAGACCAAGGCCCCTCCTCAGACTCCAGGGACCCTCTGGCCACTCTCAGCCTCCCAGGGACTCAGGTGGGGGTGTTCCTGGCCGCAGTGCGGATGGAGGGGAACCCAGGCTGGCGACTTTCCAGTTCTCCAGGAGGTTTGTGTGAACAGGTCTGCTTAGAACCTGCTGCTGAAGCTCCAGCGAGAGGCCCGGCCCCGCCGAGGGGTGAACCAAGCCTTCCCTTCTGCGGCTGCCCTGGCTTCTGCTGCCCTCTTGGGCTTTTACCTACCGAGGTCAAGATCCTCTGGCAGATAAGGGCGATGGACACAGAGGGCAACACGCTGCTCAGGGTGCCCACACGCCATGCTGAGAGCCTGGGGCTCGACCCTTGGCTCTGCTTCCGGTTCCGGCTTCCTGCTAATGTACCCTCTAGGTGATGGTTCAGCTGCCTGGGATACCCATGTGGGAGACCCGGATGGAGTTCCTGGCTCCCAGCTTTGACCTGGCCCAGGCTCAACTACTGCAGGCGTTTAAGAAGTGAACCAGCAGATGAGTCTCTCTCTCTCTCTCTCTCTTCTCTCTCTCAAAAACAACATCCTCCGGCCCGGCCTTGGCTCCCTTCTTGCGTAACACTGTCCTTCCCCTAACTGAGCCAGTGATTTTACTGATGGCTTAAAGTTGTGAGCAGGTGAACTTACTCTAACTGGGGCGACTGTTCAACAGT